TACTACGTCGAAATTTACAAGCATCTGTGAGACGTAGTCGGATTTTTTGGATCTTTTGTATGAAGTCCGTTAAGTTGTGTGATTCGATGAGGGATTTCCAGTGAAGGGTTGTAGTATTTGTACTAGGAAGCGGGATAAGTTGTATGTCGGAGAGTGTATGGCTGATAATCGGGATATTCGATTTGTACTTTTTTGGTAAATCTTTCTATACTGTAAAATGGAATGTGTAATAACATTTCTAAGATCATTTATAATCTTTTCAAAGATAGCTTCGGAGAAGTGATTTTTCGTACTATTCAGATAGTTTATTGATTAAAATTTTGTCCAGTAAGGTGGTTAAATAATTCAAAAATTGAAAGGACACTAGAAATGCTGCATTTAAGAAAATACAGAGAAAGCTTGAAAAAAGATAAAAAAAGATTTTCTTTCTCTAGTTACAACGTGGTCATTAAAGGATTAGATGCCAAATTTATGCCAATTAAATTAGCCTTCTTTATGTGTCAAAACTGATTAAACCATTTTTGGAAAAAATATCAAAATGACGGATCATTAGCTCCCTATTTCTATAATGATCTAACTAGTTTGCTAGTAGACTTAATGAATATCTTTGTAAAAAAAGAAGTTTTAGAAAAGAAAATATATAGATAGCTAGAATAGATCTTAATAATGAAGCAAATATAATTTTGCCAAAAAATTTAAAAAAAATTAGGATTTGTTGTAAAAGCTGAGTTTAAGAAAGTTAAAGAAAAAGAACGTAAAATGAAATCTTTCAAGATTGATTGTGTTACTATGCTTAAGTTAATTTGTCAAAAAATTATAAATAAGGCACTTATTAAGTATAAGTTGTGCAAAGAGATATCAAAAATATAATTGAAATTCTATTTTATACTGATCAGGGAAAATTCTTCATTTTCATCTGGAAAAGTCAGGGAATTCTAAAATTTTCTGTGGCAACCCTGAAATTGAGTTAGATTTCGTAAATATATATATCGTGTGTTTATATATATAGGGCAGGAGGGGAGGGGTTGAGAGATCTGATCGCGAATCACAACTAAAATCGGTTGAAAGAATTAGGATCGCGGATCGGTAGAGTTTCGTGGTTGAATTTTGACTAATTCCGCGTTCGCAAAGGCCCTTCTTTTCTCTTCGCGAATTAGTAATGCCATATGCAGACCTCACATATTAATGATTTAATTTAAGATTAGGATTAGGGATATCAGTTATGAATTGGATACTGGGATAAGTGTCTGAAATGACATTAGTCATTCTCGTCATCGACCATTTGTTGAATAGTTTAGAGCCACATATATAATATAATATAAATAACACATGTATCCTTTGATTAAGCAAATTTCGAGTTATGAAGATTAAAAGTTATGGATCAGCCCGCATTTTTTGACTCCAAACCCTCTCTGCTGCGTGCGTGCGTGCGTGCATGCGTGTGCGCGTACACCTACATGCGTATATGTGTACTTGCATATGTGGTGTTTCTGAATAAGTAAATGTTTACTTATTTATGAGAATGTTCAAAATGACTATCATTTTCTTACTAAAGCTGATCGCGCGATAGCTTTGTTGCTGTTTTACTTTAATAAGCATCCGATTCATTTGCACACAACAGCTCTCTGCACGCAGCTCATTGGAACCGAAGCTCATTGGAACCCAAACGTTCGAGGCGTTCAGGCCCTAGTAATAAATATTCAATCTTAGATACTTTCCTATATTGCTATAAAAGTGAAGGGATAAATAAATATTCACTATTTCGTTTTACTTCTCAAAGTTTTCATAGATTTATCCAGCCATTTTATTCAAATGAAGAAGCATACGATATATTGCTAATTTTGAGTGAGTGTCGAGGTTTGCTGATGCTGAAAGATTGTGGCGACAGCGTTTTCCTAATCGGACTCCTCACTCACGAAAAATCTTTTCACGATAGGCTAATCAAATTAAAATTAGTGGTTCAGCCTCAACATAATAAAAATAAACAGATCCGCCATCCAATTAGAAATGAAAGAACAGTAGAAATTCGGCCCACAGTAGAATTGAACCCTCATGATTCTTTAAGACGGCGACAAAAGGATTCTGTTATTAATCATAACATTATCAGGCTCATTTTAAAAGAAAACAAATAGAAATCTTATAGAATGTCTGTTCATTAATCGTTGATTCATGATGATTTTGAACAGAGACTTGCATTTTGCAACTGGATCAGAGAGCAACCATCAGATTTTCACTCCAAAATTTTATTTTCTGACGAATGTCAATGTACATTCAAAAGTGATGGATCTGTCAATATTTGGAATTGCCGGTCAGAAAATAATCCCCGCTGATTAAGACAAATAAATCATTAACATTTGGAAAGTTAATGTTTAGTGCGGCATTATTGGAAGTCAGATCGTAGGTTCTATTTTCTTTGAAAACAATCTAGACAGTAATAAATATTCAGTTTTGTTAAAAACAGAACTTCCTATCTTATTAGAAAATTTTCCATTGAGATTGTGCCTAGACATATTGTTCCAACAAGATGGATATCTGCCACATACATCAAATATTGCTCGTGTAGTACTAAACACTATATTTCCAAACAAATGGATAGGCAAATAAGGTCAATTATCCATCTCACCGGATCTCATTGTTCTTAATTATTATTTATGGAGAAGGATAAAAGACTTGTATATCGTGAATGTCTACTAGAGATGATATAATTCGTAGAATAACTGAAGCAATTCAATCCTTGGATGCTAAAAATTGAAATTTTACATGCAACTAATTCCTTCCAAAGCAGAATAAATGCTTGCATAGAAAACAATGATCATTTTGAACATCTTTCATAAACAAATAAACATTTACTTATTCAAACATATGCAAGTATACGTATGCATGTAATATGTGCGCGCGCGCACACACGCACACACACACAAGATGAAAATCCGATCGGGCAACCTCCACGCGATACACCTTGGGTAATGCTGGCGATACTGTAACTTTTAATCTTCATAACTCGAGATTTACTTAATCAAGAGATATTTTATTATAGGATTTTAGAAAGCTCTTGACATCGGCTATTAGATTCTAAAATAAAAAATAGGATATTTCATTTAAAAAAGAATCAACCTTGATCTGACCTTGGCAACCACCCAAGAACAAAATGATGTGATTAATAAATAAATCTTTTTAAACTCCACAACTTTGGTCTGAACATATTTTTTATTGGATCTTATTCTGCGGAGATAAAAAGGGTGAATGGATGTTTGAGACACCCTATATATACACGCATATCTTCGTAACTTTTCCATTTTAATATTGTTATTCTCATTACAGAAACTTTAAATATCCATCTGTATTGTTTCTCATTAGAAAATCGATATCGAATTATACTTTCAATGGTAGCATACCAAAAGGGCAAAAAGTATGGATTCCTATTTTCACGCTTCAACTCGCGTATTTATCTAAAATCAGATGTCTTCAATCCAGAAAGATTTAACGAGGCTGTACAAAATAGACACCGAATGTTCTTCCTATCTTTCGGCGATGGACCAAGAAATTGGGGGGGGGGGGGGG